CCCCCTCCTTTCCCTTTAACCCCTCTTTTCCTCCTTATTTACAAAGCTTTGCTTCTATTTTATCCTTTTTTTCTAATTTTTTTGTTTTCCTGCCCTACCTCCTCTTTCTTTTTGAAAAATTTCTTCCCGTTTCATAATACCTGTTAGATATATTTTGGTTTCTATTTACACTTTCAGTTTCTCACACCAGACAGACAATGTGATATTTACACACGTGTGTCTGATGTATTTCACTTATGAATATGGTTTCAAGGTCCATCCATTCATCTAGAAATGTTTCAAGTTTGTCCTTCTTTATGACTAAGTAATACTTCATTGTATAAAAAATACATCTTTTTTAGCCATTCTCCAGTTGATGGGCATTTGGGTTGTTTCCAAGATTTAGCTGTTGCAAAATTCACTGCTGTAAATGTAGGTGCACATATATTGCTGTGATATGATCTTTTTTTGTTTTTGTTTTTTTTCTAGTACCGAGGATTGAACTCACAACCTTGTACTTGCTGGGCAGGCGCTGTGCCACTGAGCAAAATCCCCAGCCCTGATCTGATCTTTTTAATTCCTTTGAGAAGATACCAAGAAGGGGAATAATAGCTGGGTCAAATGGGACCTTTAAACCTAGATAATTTTGCAGGATACATCAATCTGGATTGGAAGTTGTTTTCTTTCCTGATTTGAAATACTTTGCCGCATGCTTTCCTTGACTTCAGAGTTTGTGTTGAGAAGTCTGCTGTGATTCTATGGGCTTTCCTCTATAGTGGATTTGGTTCTTATCTCTAACATGTTTTAATATTCTGTTCTTGTACTGAGTTTCTGAAATCTTATATGCCTTGGTATAGATTTATTTTGGTTATGACTAATTGGAGTTCTGTATGCCTAATTTACTTCTACATGGAATTCTTTTTCTATGGTTGGGAAGTTTTCTGATATTCAGTGAACAGGTTTTTTGTGTTGTTTGTGCTGACTTGCACTTTTTCATTGATTCCACTCAATCTTATGTTGTTCTTCTTTGCAACATCTTATAGTTGTTGAATTGTTTTTCCATGGTCCCTTGCTGTTTTTAAGAGACCTTTCTTTTTGTGATCAGTAACTGTGATCCTGTCTTCTTGGTCTGATACTCTGTCTTCACTTTGTTTCATTTGGTTTTGCAAACTTTCAGTGGAATTTTAAATTTTCTGGATATGTGTTTGAATGTTTCATGGATTCCATTTCTTTCTTACATTAGGCACTCATGGTTTCTATTTTTTTTATTCTCTCTCTTTTTTTTTTTTTTTAAATCTATGTCTACTCTAGATTTGCTGAGCAAGTCCTCCATTATGGTTGCCATCTCTTATTTTATGTTTATTTTCTGTTCGGATTTTCTCTATAGCCTCATGCATATTTTTTAAAAAAAATTCTGCTGGTGTCATTCCAGAAAATTCACGTGGATGGCATCTGATTTCCTCTATCTTGTTGACAAATTTATGGATTTGTCCTGGGTGGGCTAGAAGTCTGTGATTGCATTTTGCTTCCACATCTGTGCGTTTATGTATTTTAAATTTTTTTGTGTGTTGTTGTTTGTGATTTTCTTATGTTAGTTAGCTTTATTACTGTTATCAAGGCTTCTCTAGGAAATGTCTATCCCTTGGAGATGTCTTCTAGGTGTAGTTTGCTGTTGGTCTTTGTGTCTCTCCCAGGATCGTATCTTCCCAATTTACTAGGCATGAGCAGTTGCTATCTGTTTGGCTCAGTACCCAGTCCTTTGGTAGTGGATTATGGGAATGATTAGGACCCCAGATTATCACAGTGTTGTCATGCAAGGATAAACAACTGATTACAACAAGGATAGCATCCTAGCAAACGTAATACAGTTAGCAATAACAATATCAAGCACAGCCTAGAAACTGACAATCTGTGGTAACTGCTAATTTGGTATCTCTAACTCTGGGAACAAGATTTATCATTCTAGAGCAACCAAAATAAATCAGGAACTTGTATGCAGTTGGTTTCTCCTTGGTAGAGTGATTTTATCCTGTGGGGAAGGGGAATTTAAGAGTGGTAGGGGACAAAACAGAGGAAAAACTGAAGGGAAATATAGTGGAAGCCAGGCTGAATCGAGGTGAACCCAAAAGACTGGAGACAATTTTCATTCACATGTAAATATCAGAAGATCATGAAAGACCATTGAGGAAAGAGAGAGGACAGAGAAAACAAACCAAACAATAAAAGTCAAAATATAAACAACGCCCCCCAAAGGAAAACAAAACAAAAAAATTCCACTGGTGCCTCCAGTTCTGTGTTCCTTAGTTAGAGCTAGAATTTGTACTGAGAAACGCAGCCAAGTCTGCAGTAGGGTTACTGCTGAGTGGGCCTGATCTTGGTCAGACCACTGACTCCTCTCGCATTTGTTGTAGGGAGGGTGGGGAGTATCCTTGTCTGCCACTGTATTCGGCCGCAGCGCAAGAGCTGATTCCAGGCCTTTGTAGCTAGGGGTGAGACTGGCTTTGGTGGCCTCGGGACAGAGTCTGGGTGGTCCTGGCTCCTACTTCTCAGCAGAGTTCCTCCCAGTCTGCTGTCTAACTGCCAGCTGTCTACTGTGCCTGGATGCCTCTTACCTCTTTCCACTCCTGGATGTTGGCAGTGAAGTGACCCTACAGCTGTTCTGCTGTTGGCATTTGAGCCCTGAGGCCTTTGAAATAAAGTGTTGGGCTGGGGATATAGCTCAGCGGCACAAGCGCCTGCCTGGCAAATGCAAGGTTCTGAGTTCGATTCCCTGTACCAAAAAAAGAAAGAAAGAAAGAAAGAAAGAAAGAAAGTAGTGATTCCACACATCCGCATTGTCTGTCTGACACTGCTCCGATTCACTCACCACTGCTGCCTGGGCGGTAGAGGGCGCTTGGGAAACAGTGTCTCAGGTTCTCACTGCTGCCTCCCACTGTACAAGACTCTTCCAGTCTGGGTCAGGTCTCAGTCTCCCAGTGGTGTGTTAGTTCACTGTCGAGTTGCTGACACTGGGTGGGGTGCCACTCAGGAAACAGTTTCTCGTGGTCTCACTACTGCATCCAACTGTACAAGACTCTCCTGGTCCAGGTCAGGTCTCACTCTCCCAGTGACGAACAAAGTTACTTTTGCTGTCTCCTCACCTGCCATGTCGGCTACACAGCGGTTCTAGCTACAGTCTGCGGTCCCCATTTGTGGTGGTGAGCTGTTTTTTCTGTAACAGTGAATTCTATTTTCTTCTCCATTGTCAGTTCCCTTGTGGTCCCTGTGTGCCCTGTACTCCCTTTGGATTCTCTCTGGGCTGTTGTTTTCCAGACTCTTGACACTTTGTTCTAGAGAAGCTGAGTAGTTGACCCTCAGCACTCCACCACTTCCTGTCCTTCAAAATAACCTGTTACTTGGCTCTCTATGTCATATGTAAAGACTCTGCTAA